AAGGAAAATATTAGGTAACTTCACATTCATGTTGTGTGGTCATAAGTACTCATCAGCAAAGACTACATGGCAATCAGAGCTGCACCAGAGTCCTTAAGAGGAATATGATTTCTGGATGTGTGTGAAACCTAAGAGGAACAAGGTGTTCCTACAACAAGAAAGTAAAAGAAAAGCATAAAGTGCTTCAGAGGTATCAATTTTCAGCTAATAAAGATGCTCATCTTTAACCCTTATCAATGTTCTTCAGGATAGCTAGTTGACAACGAAAGTAAGTCATGTCGGGAATAGTGAAGAACATAAAAATGCACATGACACATGATTAGATACTCCGTGTGTGTTTTACAGGTAACTAGTCAGAAGTCAGGAGTAGCAGGAAACTGTAGCTTGTCTGGTAAATTAAGCAGTTACTACATAATTAGATTCCTATTCAAGATAGCTATCTTCTAAATTCAATGTGTAATTAATCCAGAGAATCGGAGCAAATCTTACAGAAGTGAAAATGTTGCTCTTGTAGGAACATCATTCTGTCTACACACAGAGGTATTCAGAAGGCATCCAATATTTGTTCAGAAGGCAATTTTCTGTGTAATTACTATTGATTTACAGTGCATTTCTGATAATTACTTTAGAGGACATGACTACCTGAAACCTTGAAATCACTATACAGGTTATAAAAATGGTTAGTTGTGTTATCTCACTAACATGGTTTGGTTAAGAAAATCTTATCGAGCAGTGAGAGAATTTTTGGAACTTAGTTAAGATTGTTTTGTCTAATATGCTTTAGGAAAAAGGTGATTAGTTGGGAACCACATGCCATAAAGCAACCGCGTCTTTTCAATTTTCTGGTTCATAAGATTAAGAAATCAATAAATTCATCATATATTTATGTCTTCCATGCAACACATTTATGTTTTTATTTCTTTATTTTTTCAACTATTCACTTTCCATTAAAAAATACAGCATTCCAAAAGATTTAAAATGTACAGGTTCGTTGAACTTGTCTTAGAATATAAGATTTGCAAGGCAACTTGTTGCCAAAACTATTGCAAAGGCAACTTCTCCCATATCTACACCATCCATCACTAAATATCAACATCATCATCTTAGCTCTCCTCGTCTAGTGTGGACTCGATATATAATAGCTCCTAAGGCATCCAAAAAAAAAGACCTGGCACAATTCTAGTGATGCTTGTTTCATACAATTGTCAGCAAACCAGAAAAAACAGTCTGATGTTGTAATCAAAGATCATGGAAGATAACTTGATATTATGGTCCAGCTTGCATCAATTAACAATCAAGAAGATTCAATGCTAGAAAAAACATTCCTCATCTTGGACACTGAGTACTTGAACAAGAGACAGCTCCTATGTTCCAAAAAGAAAATGAAGATCTGATTTGACGTGTTCTATAGCTTGCGTTGCTCAAACAATTCTCAGCATAACAATATTGTTGATTGCCAATAATCTACATTTCTCGTTAAGTACTCTGATGATGATGTTATTTTCACCAGCTGCAACACTACTGCCTACTTCAGGTGGCTCTAAGGAATTGATAGCCAAGCATCATCTTTCACTAAAAAAGCCTTTGGCAACAAAGCTAGTGGCACAAAAGAGAGAATTCAAAAGTGCTATGGAACACAAATCCAGAACCGCTACCACATAACTAGGCTTGATCTCAAGACAAAGTAAAGATCATTACTAGCATGACAAGGGATCATGTTATTATTATCTTAGAGAGCACACGATCTGCACTGCTTTAAAAGCAGTGGTGGAAGTCATAATCGAACTATAATTTTGCTTCGCATTCAAAAACGATACCTGGTTTTTATTATTCTCTTCACTTTTCTCATTGAGCTTCTGCTTAACTTTAAACAAACAAGTACATCCAAGCCAAATCACATTGAAAAATAGCAAGGCTCCTCTAGGCCCAGTTTCATTTCAGGGGACGTAAGCATCTAGCCACATTAATACTTCCATCTTGATGTTTCCCTTTTTACATCAGTAATTTGTTCTTAATAAGATATCAGGCCCTAGTGCTATTAGCTGGTGGCAATTTCCAGTGTTTTTCGGCCAAGATGGAACCAAAAGAAAAGGAAATATCCATTCCCACTTACAGATCGTTGCTCAGTTGATATCCTTGTAATGCTAACATTCAATCTGGCTAGATAACGCATTAAAAACAGTTCCTCTCACCTACCCAACTTCTAGCCATTACTTTCACCTTCCCAACTTCAGGACCACATTCCTCAAAAGGTATAAACTACAGCCCATTGAAGAAAACAATTTCATCTACTAAAACACTTTCATTTTGAAATCAATTCTGGAGGATTCGTAGGATATATGTACTGAAACTGGTTCCTTTCACAAAAGTACTGCAAGCTTTCCCACGATAAACAAATTTTTGAAATACAAATCTAAAAGCAAATATGTAAAACAACTTAAATTATCAATGAAAAAAGGATGATTTTCCCAAATAAATAATTTGTCGAAGTGAGATTTCTTGGGACTTAATCCTTGAACGGACTAAACCACCTAAGCAAGGGAAAAGGTAAAAGTTAAGTCCAGTTCATGAGCTACTTGCCACTTTTATATTGATCTACAATATCAAATGAAAGGTCATTCTTACGTTTTTTTTTTTTTTTTGAAAAGTATAAAGGGCTTATAGTTTTACCAGCAGGATGATTTTAGATAACCTGGTTTTATAGGAGGATCTGTGCATATGAATCTGAGCAGTACTCTGCTGGAAAATTTGCATTGTTGTCTCTATATCACTTCATTCTGATCATCCATATTTCAAAATGCTGCAGGAGCACATATTAGAGGGACACGTGGTGCAGGGAGGAAATACTTCTCTTTTGAATTTCCATAATAGATCCAAACCTTCATATCTTTGAGTGAGTCTAAGATATAATAAATGCTGAGAAGTATCTCTCATGAAGCTTCATGGCCAACACTTCCCAACTCAATCGGCTGGAACTTCTATGCTTTCTAATTTGTTTCTCCCAGATCATTGATCTCAATTTAGCAACATGATCTGATCTTCCAGCAACTGCATGGATATCAGACAAAAGAACAAGATTGCCAGAATTATCAGGCTCGATCTTGAATAGCGCAGCTCCTCAAATTTCAGCCAATTGAATCTTGTGATGAAGCCAGCATGACTGCTACGCTACTAACAAGGTTATATGCTTATTCAAGGCACCTAGCATGACTAAGAAGGTCATCAACAACACCGGCACAGAGCTTTTCCACTGATTGAATTCCATGATCATCGGTCATTTGCTTGAAAAACCTCCTCCCTCGTTCACAATGCCCCCAATGTTACAAGCAGTCAAAACCACTAGAAAGCAACTATATCAAGTTTAATTTTTTCCCCTTGCATCAACAGACAAAGAAATGCTATCTTGACTCGGTCCATGATTTGCAAAGGCAGTAATATTTTGCAGAATTTTTTCTTATAAACCATTCTTAAAAGCTTTCAAAGCTCTTTCTTTTCTCGCACCATTTGCATACACATCTATCAAACTGGTAACCACTGTGAACAAGCTAGTATGTTACCCATTATAAAGTTCCAATATGGCCTTGATACCTGATTTCTAAAGAACTCGTACACGTCCAAAGCATTATGCGGCTGCTCTTTTTAGCATCCTGTAAAAAAAAAAATTCTGCAGCTTCCAAATTCCCCGCTTTGCAGAACCCAAGACCATTGAATTCCAAGTCACAACATCACGAATTAGCATAGCTTCTAAAATATTCTAAGCAGCAGATACTATCACATCCAATACCACCAAGTCCTTCATAGGCACTATCTCAACACGAATGCCTCCTCGACGTCCCCAGCCTTAACATATCCCTGAACCAAACAGATCACGTTCCTCTCTTCCATCCATGATATATATGTTGTCCAACATAAACTCTTTCGCTGTTTCCATACCCCCAAACCATTGAATTCTTGCAAACAGTATCTCTATCTTCCATCTCTGCAAACACCTCCCTCACAAAACCCATTTTTCCTCTCCTTGTCAAAAAATCAAACAAAATTCACCAACACACGCAACCCCCCCCCTCCCCCCCAACACACACACACACTCACACACAGAGAAATGAGCTTGATTCAGGAATTTCATCTATCAGTCCATGAGCATAAGAGGTGGCACTAAAACACCAATGGATAGAGAGCAGTGAGGTCGGAGGATAAAATTACAAGAGCGAATATCTCATGGCGCCAAAATTGAAATAGGGTGGTTTTAAGTTATAACTGTTGGGTTAAGGAGCGTAGAGTTTTGGAGAAAGAAGTGGACGGGTTGTGTACGGTATACGATTAAAAAGACATTTAAAAAAATATTTATTTAAAAAGTATTGAATTAAAATCTTTAAATGATTTTGATATATTTATATCATATATTTATATAAAATAACATTAATTTAGTAATTAGTGCTTTTATGCCTTTTTCTTTTTCCTGGTTCAAGTGCACATAGGGCAGCAATTGGCCAATGCTACAGGCGTGAAAACACCGCAGGGCCAGCGACCCATTGGTGGATTATGCCCTACTAAAATGGGGGTGCCATGTGGATTTCAAGCCTGTATCCCGAATCCTAAAAGTAGAGATTAACTTGTAAAACAAAGCTGAATTGAATCAAAGAACGCTAAAAACTAAACATTTGTCAAACCTGCTTGAATCCTCAAGAACAGCAGTGCCTGGCAAAGAGACAGTGAATGGCTGCCATATCGTAGCAGCTTTTTGTACAGCAGTGCCTGGCAAAGAGAAAGTGAATGGCTGCCATATCGTAGCAGCTTGTGGATTATGCCCTACTAAAATGGGGGTGCCATGTGGATTTCAAGCCTGTATCCCGAATCCTAAAAGTAGAGATTAACTTGTAAAACAAAGCTGAATTGAATCAAAGAACGCTAAAAACTAAACATTTGTCAAACCTGCTTTTGTAGAGCAGTGCCTGGCAAAGAGAAAGTGAATGGCTGCCATATCGTAGCAGCTTTTGTACTGGAGTCAAGGATCTCACTAATAATCTCAAATTACCAAAAAAATCAATATTTAAGGCTCACTATAAGTATAATTGTACAGAAGGTATGGCGAATCATGGTTAGTTACAAATGCTTTGAGCTCGTATTCCCATCTCCTTCTCCGGGAAACATGGAGACAAGTACAATAAATATAGGATCACTGTTTGTTTTTCTTCTTATATTTCTATCCCAAGCCAGAAACCCACTTTATCAACAATTGCCGAATTGCCCAAAACAGTCATCAGAAAACATTGGTAGTCTGGAGCCAAAAATATCAATTAGTTCAGGGATTGCACAGGGCCAAAGTCAGGTGCCATGTCAAAAATTTCTTCCATTTCTCTATCATAATTCCTGATCTTTTCCCCGGTGAAGCTAGCAGGATGAGAGCAGCTGATGCCTTGTGAATCTTTGGTTGCCCAAACAGTACTTTGCATCAAGCAGATGAATCTATTATTCACTTGATTCCTGTACATTTCTGTCATGATCATTCTTCTTGTTTTTCAACAGAGAATTATCAGCACTTTGTTGGGAAACAACCAGCAAAGAATGGCTATCAGCCACATTCTCTCTTTGGTGCGTGGAGTGATCCTCCTGAGCTGTACTGGTTGCATCTAGGTATGATATTCCATATTTTTGTCCATGAGTTAATCCAGGGCAAAGTCCCTGCAGAGAAAAACCATCAACATTCCATGTCAAGATTATTAAGGCTGTTGCAAACAGCAGATAACATGAAGGTTGACACTCCTTGTTTTTATTCATTTATTCTATAACTTCGCCGTCAGATATTCACTGAAATTCAAAATGACATGTCAGGGGATAACAACACTCAATTTGCATCAAATTTATTAACAGCATTCTTCCTCTTCTCAAGAAAATGTAAAATCAATCAATACATCTTTAACAAGGTATCATATAGGATTTAGTGCTTAAAAGTGAAAAAATGAGGATGCAGGCGAGGGATTTGGAAAAAACAAAAAGTAAACTAACCTTCATCAACCCTGATGTAGTCGTAGACTCGAGAAAAGAGGAATCTGATGGATAACTGGAATGAACCCAGCTCCCAGAAAGCACACTGGCATTATTTTCTTGGGGATGGATTGAGATGTCTGATTTACGAGATTCCTGTTCAATGCCACCACCTTTACAGTATGCACCTAAATATGAACAATGTTCATGTATGAGAGATATTTGTGGGGTTGCAGGCAACAAGTGGCCCTCTGTGCTGAAGATGTACCTGTAAATGAGTAAATATTTCCAACAAATGATTGAAAATAAGAGATAGTAGAGAATTAACCTGGCAAGCACAATTAAAAGCACAAAGCCTTACTTGTATGGCCCATTTTCTACAAGGTTATCTGGACCCGAAGCCAAATCAAAAAGAAGCCATAGGTACTTGACCTAACAACAGTTTTAGCGAGCAATTAATCAAATGCAATGGCATAGATGGATTAAAACTCATGAAGCACATCAAATGGAAAGGCAAATTCACTAATATAACCTTCTGCATGGCAGGACACACTCATTTATTGCCATAGAATATGAACATCAATCCCTCTTATATCAAATATTAAAAAAAAAAAAAACAAATAAATCTTCTGCCTTATTTCCATGAAGACACCTTATCCTCCTTGTTGTACAGCAGTTTTTATCTCTTCTAATAAATCTATTCTTCTTTTTCCAGAAAAAGGGAAGCGAAGAAGATTGTGCCTAATTTATCCCAGAGGAAACAAGCTATCATCAAAATATAAATCTCATATAAAGCAAACAGGCAAACCCAAGGTTCGTACACCTTGGCCAGAATAGGAGTGGTTCAGTTTCGCTACGGCAAAAAAGTTTAGCTGCTGGGTTTGAATAGAACATAACCCATTTAACCAGTCTGCACTCCAACCCTAATCCTAGTATCTAATTGAAATTCTTTAGCATGTACTTAACACGTAATGGCACACTTTTCTCAAGCAAAAGGAAAAAAAGACATAATATAGAAGCCAAACAACATATTAAAAGAATTTTATTAACATCTTCATGCCATTTTTTTCATTACAAACATTTGAAAAGGTAAAATTTCCCTCTCATCATAAACAATCTTTACATTCTCAAGCATTTTCACAACCTTCTATTATTGGATGACAAGACCATGTATCAGGGCAATAATATTAGAGAGAACTCCTAAACATGATGAACAGACAGTCTTGATATTAACCAAATCCACAAAGATGAAAATATACCATCCCATTTGATGGTATGGTTCCTCTATAACACCAACCAAAAAGGAAAATAAAATATCTGACTGGAGTTACCCAAAAGTAATACTAACAGTTTCGGCCAGGAAAAAGCTCTCCATGTGGTCCTCTTTCTTGTGAAATTCTACATCTACTATATGGCAATAACCACAGGGGCATCGAGCCCCATATTGCAAGCTCACAACCATATCCCTTCCAACGTCAGGATATCTGCAGAGGATAATCAGAGACATGGCTTCAATTGCAATTTCTTGACAGTAGGAGAAGCCACATTAGGTGGAGCATGGGAATTGAAACAAATAAGTTAAGAACCAAGAGAAAAGGCTATGCAATCTGGCAAAAAGACCAGAATCTGTTTTATAGCAGCTTTCATTCCAGAATATTTCTCGAATTTCTTTCCAGGTAATATTTTGCATCCAGGAAATTCCAGTCGACCCCAAGTTATCTGTTTGTAATTAAATCTGGTTAACCTTTTATTATTATTTTTATGCTAAATGTGAAGGTTAAGTAGAAGGAGCTAATAGCTAGTAAATCAGCAATGCATATGAAAGTATTATTCTCCTATTTTCTAACTGGGATCTCCTGCCTATGATACGCATATATAGAAATTCATGGTTCTGGCATGTCAGTATGTGATCCTTTCCAGATCCACTGGTTTCTTCTTGGTAGACATAAAGAAGCAATGATATTTGTCAGTATATAAAATTTAGAAATCCTCAATACTGGAAAAACAAGAAAACATTACGCAAGTATGAAGTTATCACAGATTTTTTCTGACCTCGGATCCCGGGTAGCTTTGTAAAGCCAATATGTGCTCTCTATCAACTCTGGGCGCAGAGGATAACTCTTCTGCCCATGCTATAAAACAAATGTATGGAAAAAAGATACAAATATATGAGATAATATGTAACACACAAGATGTCTATTAGCATGCAAAGTAAATTACATAAAGAAAAGTGCATGGTGGAGGGAAAAGGCATGAGTTATGGTGATGTCAGGTCAACAAAATAGACATTTCTTGCACAGCTCTTTGTAAACCCATAGAATGGGCCTAACATCTGGAACACTTATGAATAATAATTTTCTTGGGCTTCCAATAACAATGATTTGGATACCTGAACAGTTAGAGTAGCAAGATTAAAGCCTTCTGGAGTAAAACCATATCTTTTCCAGACACTGAAGAATGCAGCATGAGTTCGAATTGCAGGATCAATATCTCCTGCTAAAACCTTTACTCATATCCAATCAACCAAATATAGGTTAAAAAAAAAGGCAGTCATAAAATCTATAGTCCAAAACCTAGAATAAAGAAAAAGAAAATACCTGTAGGCCTGGCCAGAAGGCCTGCAAACTGTTAAACAATGGCCAGACAATAGCAGCAGAATCCATGTTTACCTCAACATACCTATAAAGACATCTAAAATTAAGATCCAATGGGTGAATTATTGCCCCATAAAAGAGGAATAACAAAAGAAACCAAATATAAAAGATATATTTATATTGAAGCACAAAATAGCCACGAGATTATACCAAGGATCATTGTAAAGATAGTGCATAGCAGCTGCATAGGCTTCTTGGAAAATAAACAAATACTCCTCGTCACCAAATAACAAATAAGCCTGAAAAGATGAAGAAAATTTTCAGCCCAAAAATTCTTGTGAAATGAACAAATACTCTTTGTATAAAGAGAACCTGATTTATCTGCTATAGCAAAGAAATCTCTACCATTATCCATGAACAGGAAATGATTAAAGCATTTTGATAGTGCTGGTTCTGCATAGACAATTATTTCTGAAGTGCTCTTTCTAAAAACCTTAAAAATGGGTGCCCACCAGTTTGGAATTAAGGCTTAGTTGATTTGAGTATTTTTACCACCTTCTTTCATGATATACAGAACGCAAGTCATAAAAAACTGGAAAAAAAAATTTGGTGGCTCTGATAATCAAATAATTTTTTGCTGGAATCACTGTATGATCACATACCTTTAAGAGATATTCATAGAAAGAGTCAATACTTGTTCCTATTCCAGCATCCTGCAAAGCAGCAAAGGAACATGAGTATTGTCCCTTGGGAAAAAAAATGAATTCAGTTGCCCAAACGTTGAGAAAACTCAACCATGAAGAAATATGTGACAAGAAGCTTGATTGAATTTTTCAAGTGAATCCCATCCCTAATTTTAAGGTCACAAACAAGTGCACAAGCAAAGAATACCACCTTCTCCGGAATTTAAAAAACAAATGCTCTCAACCATCATTTCTGAGCAAGTTAAGACAAAGTTGTCAAATATCATCAGGCATGTACAATTTCAAGCCAAACATCAAGCAATGTGACTTCGATTAACCCAAATTCTTGTTCTCAAACCAAATCATGTCATCAGCTAAATACTGAGATTTCAATCAAGTTCCCATATTAGATATCGATATGCTGCATTTTTTATTTTTTTTTGGGAGAGGAAGGATGTGGGTGGATGCAATAAATTAAATAAATACTGACACTGAGATAAAAACTGCTAATATGCGCCCATCCTCGTACTTTTAAAATACAAGATGACATCAATTGACAAGGTCATTACAATGTGTTTCAAAAATCTCTGTTCTTTTTTTCACAACTTTCTTAAGGGATGGAGTAGTCAGACAAACCATATAGCAATCTATAATTTGCTCCCAGAATTTAATTATTCCTCATTATTCAACTTAAAAGAAAATGTCTAGGAGATTCCCATGTTGCTGTCAAATACAGGTAATTTTAGAAACACGAGATCTTCTACACACTTTGAAATGCTTCAAAAAAAAAAAAAGTTACCTTTTGTGTCCATTCACCTGTAAATCTCTAGGAGATTGCCATGTTGCTGTCAAAAACAGGTAATTTTAAAAACACGAGATCTTCTACACATTTTGAAATGCTTCAGGAAAAAAAAAAAATGTTACCTTTTGTGTCCATTCACCTGTAAATACATTGATGTGAGCACCAACCAAATTCAGCTTTGAACGGCGAGCCCATAATCCGCGCACGGCATTCTTTGTTACTTGCTCAAAAACTGCATATCCATGAAATGAGATAAGAACAATAATCAATGTCAATAAGTGGATCGCAATCAACCTTTGCAATTCCCCACAGAAACTGAGAAGGAAAAGGATAATAAAAGAAACCAGTCGATAAACAAAAAGAAGCTACAAAGTGATATGGAGATACAAAAGGCAGTCTTAGGATAACGTTCTGATAAAGTCTGAATTGACATTAGAAAGTTTATCTTTTATCAAATAAAAGTCAGAATCCTGAAAGGCACTGTAAGGTCCACTTGATGGATGAACACACAATACCCATAGTTGCTAGATACAGTACCACCACATTATGGAACAATTTAGCAGAAGGTGAAGATTGCTTCTGTTTTTATTTCTGGAGTTGAGGTGGAAGGGGCTGTTACCCTTTTATGTTTGAAGTACCAATGAATTTATAGAAAGTTTATACAGTAACTATTAATTGAGGCAAAGCCCCTGGTCAATATACAGAAGTTGCTTGATAATTAACTAAATATAAAGTAACTGAACACAGTTTCAAGTCAGGTCGAGATGCGTGCAACAGCTAGGGAGTCAATGGACTGCCTCTTCTGCTCAAGTCTCTTATGCAGCAACGCTCATTCCTATGCAAGTGAAAAATTTATTACCTTGGAGGAGGATTCATTTTTTGTTTTTCTGATTTGAACCATCAGGAAAGAGCAAGAAATAGGTCACTCTTGTTTCGACTTTCTCAAATCACTATATCCTAGCATATTCATGTGCATAAACTAAACATTCATATGCTGTTGTAGCTGTCTACAGTATGCCTAGAGAAAGTCTTACTCATAATTATGTTACATAAATGCCTTAATATTTTCATACTATAGCCAAATTAAATTTCTTCAGCCATGCTGCCAAAAAGAGCAGACAAAGGTGCTGCCCGTGCCAATCCTCATGGAAAAATCCTATTCGGATCTTGAAAATCTCACCATTGACCAAGGACAGCAACTGAAGAGATCACAAATCTGGCACCGCTGCTTTGCAAGGCTCAGGAGTTTCTATTCAATAAATGATATTCAAACTATGGATTCCATCTAAGAAATGGCACATCTGACAAGCTAAGAAGTTTGAGATATGCAAAATATGAAACCTGGCAGTAAGCCAAACACTACTGGGCCATGATATAATGATGCAAGCACAATCTAATTTGTGTGAAGATGCAATTTGTAACATTTTTATACATAAATTCTGTATTAAAGGTTGAAAAACACAGAATTATCTCAACTTAATCATGACATCTCATTTCTCTAGGAGAAAATCAGAAACCTCAGTTGCTAGATGGAAAACAACAATTCAATGGCCAGCCTGGAAAATGTATCATGCTATGAATACTTACTTGGATCATTGGTCAAGCGACTAAGCATCCCAAATTCCAAAGTCAAGGTTCCACCACCAGCAGTTGACGTTATCTAAATACACCAAAAATTGCATTTCACAAGCTACCCAGTCATTTTAGGATATTGAATTCATGGAGTCAATTCTACAATGAATAACATGTAGCAGCAAAAAACATTTATTGTAACTGTTTGAAAAAGAGGGGTGCTACAAGGTGAGGAAAGCATTGGCAAGTATCTCAAGAAATTCACATAAAAGGAGAAAAAGAGGGTGGCTTTACCCTGCTTTCCTGTTCATCAACCCCGTATAAAAGATTGACAGACCCAAATGGAATTCCTGCAGTACATCATAGCTTAAGATCAAATTAATATAATATTACAGCATTAATGAACTTGCAAGGCCAATACTCAAAACACGCAATTGCTTTCAGAAATTTTAAATTTAGAGATTGATGGTAAGACAGACTCTATCCAACAAAAATAAAGCTACAAAACACATCCCCTAAAGCTAAGCTTGAAGACAATAACTAAGAGGTCCTATTAATTAAAAAAATGTCAAAAATATGATAGGCTTAAAACAAACCACAAATATAAATTCATTATGAATTGCCAGAAACATAAACTCATGAGTCATGACCACTCATAGAACTACAGATATAGTGCAAATTCTGTGTCCATGCTGATTTCACCCACCTCTCAAGGATGGAATGCCAAAAACCACAAGAAATGCAGCAAATGTCAGTATCTAGTAGTCATACCTGTAGGAGTGTCAAATGCAGGTAGCATTCTCCGAGCCAAATCCTCAGCTAAGTCAAGTAATTGATTGTCATAGGATGGAATTCTCATACCCTGCAACCAAAAGATGGAAGTGGCATTCTCCCTGGATAGAATATTGAAAGGGTATCTAGGCGAAAGGGTATCTAGGCATTTACTCATTATTGAGGAGCAATCAAGCACATCAAGTTTCAAATATAAGATAAATTAGCACCCAAGAACATGCTGTCTTTAAGCTATAACTTACATGCAGAATGCAAACACTTGTGTGTCATGCGCATTGCTTTCTTAATGCTTTATTTTGATATTTATTCATCGTAAAAGGCAATAGAATTCATTACTAAACGTTACGTATTCTGCCTTATCCTTAACTAGAAAGATATTGAAAAGAAAAGATTTACAAAGGTGATCATTGCATTTACCGTAGCATAATCACTTGCAATAAGATGAGCAGAGAGTAAACCTCCAAGGACCCGGATGGTAGTCTCAAAGACAGATACTGTTTTATTCTGGAAACAAGATAACAGAATTAAAAAAAAAAAATAGATAAGATGTCTTCTGATAACTACAGACATAGGTTTATAACTTCAGAAGGATAGTCATTTGATTGCTCGACCAAAATGATAGGAGGGGTAACATGGCTTGTAATTTCTATGATGTAAATTTCAATATAAAAATGCATTGATGCCTGTTAAAAGGTTATTCCTATCAAAGTATCAAAACATGTGAGCTCAAATCATCATAGTAAATGCTTACTCACTATATCAAACCGAAGATTTTTACCAATCCAATCAACAGAGGAAGTGAACTGTTCTCGGTCACCAAGTAGAGCCAGCATATCCAAGGAGTCAATCTGCGACAGCATTAATATGTTCACCAAACTTTCATATAATAGCTTAAAGACAAAGAACCAGGAACAAGGACATCACCAACCAGAGTCAAAGCATAACCACCAAGACTGTCTTCTCCTTCACATGATAGAGGCTTTAATTCATCAAGCGGAAAAGCATGTTCCATGTATCCATTAAAAGCATGATAGAACATTTCACGAACCTATATCATACCATCAACAAAAACATATCACGCACATGAAAAAAAATCAATTCTTTATTTATTTTCTAAAAAGAGTGATACTATTCCCAAAACAGAGATGGCGCAATTCACCAAAAATTCGTAAGAGGAAAAAATACATAGAGGGATTTTTGTCAATTGAGCAATGCTTAAAGCTTCAATTAGTGTGATTGCAAATAAATTCATCAATGCAATTAAATAATAAATGGGCAGGATCAAATTTATAAAACTTGTAAAATTTACTTATAATCACCATAAATAAGAGCAATTCTCGAAGTCCAGTAATTACAGAAGAGAGAGAGAGAGAGAGAGGAAACAGCTAAAAAACTTGAAATTCGATGATAAAGCTAAGAGGTGAATGCTTGAGCAATGACAGATCTAATGTTCAAGAAGAAGAAGAAGAAGAGTTTTCTTCTTTTCTTTTTATGATTAAAAAGAAGAGGAGGCAAATTTAAAAAAGGAAGGAGGGAGGGAGTACCTCGTCTCGAAGAAGTGTGGCTTCCTCGGGAGTGACACCATCAGCCGCAGTTTGTCGAAGGAAGATAATGTTGTTGTGGTTGGTGTCGGCAGATAATATTGAGAGCAGCAGCAGCAACAAGGGCAGGCATCGTTGTTTCCAGGTTTTTTCCATTCCTTGCTCTCTCTGATTCTAGTCTCTCTGTTGTTTTGGTAACAACGAAGATATACAACAGCAAATAATAAATAAATAGATATGATGAATGAATGAATGCTCGTGTTTGAGTTGTGCCCTTACTGAGAATTGAGCTTCTCTTTGCTCTTCAGTTTTACTTTTACTAGGAATCCATTTCCCTTCCGTCCCAGCCGAGTTTGGTAAGTGTTGCATACACCCCCTTTTTGGTAAGGCTAGTAGCAAGAAATAAAAAATAAAACAGAGTTGAAATAAAAATGAAACTTAGTTTGTGTTTTTTGATTGTGCGTATGGATTTTTGTATAAAATATTTTTTTAATTTTTAATGTTTGAATATTAAAATTATAAAAAATACTCAAAAAACATCAATTCAATATTTTTAAAAATAAGATCACTTTTCAAAAAAAAAAAAAATACTCTCAGAGAGATTCTTAATCATGCATCAATTAATTTAAACATGTTTTTAGTATGTATTTGTGAATCTGTATTTTATTTTTTGTTAAAGATAATTAGAAAAAATTAATAATAAGTTAATTTTTAAAAACTAAATTATTGACAAGTTCGTTATAATTTTTTAAGATTAATAAATCTATTTTTATAATCTGTATATGATATCAATATTATTCTTTATATTTTTTTTATTTTTTTTATTTATCACTATTTTTTATAATATTTTTTTAGTTTTTTATTTATATTTTTTTGAAAAAAATATTATTTCTTATTCTCTGCTCTTGAAATATTTATCACTCTACACTTAGACTATATTATTTTTATTCTTATTATCATTGTTTTTTATTTTTTTTCTTAACACTTTTTTTTTAAGATTATTATACAAAAACTAAGAAAATGATGTTTCAATTTAGCAAGTGCAATATTATCCTATTTTTTTTACTACTTTAAAAATGAGTTTGAAATTTTAGATGTTTCTATCAACACACATGACATTCACTATATTTTATAACATCTAAGCATTAGTTCATAGTTATATTTTTTTGTCTATTGTCAACAAATATCCTAACAACACCTACACATTAATTCATCCACGTTAAAAAAAAATACAAGTTGGAATAGACATGTTAATATTTTTTTTGTATTTATTAGCACAAATAATTATTAGTTTATTTAATTAAATGCATGAATAGAGTTTTTAATTTATAATTATAATTTTTATTATAAAAAACATATTTACATATTTATTTTTTTATCAAAGAATAATTATCTAATTCATAGTAAAATACAGGTAAAATAATTAGTACCGAACTATGTATACATAACTCTTGGTGAATCCATCAAACACAGCACAGGAATGCCTCTTTGTATATATAAAAAAAATTCTAAACACTATCCCAACAACCTCTATGAATATAAATTAAAAAAAAAATTCCGGAAACAATGGTATGCTGAGAATTTTTAAATGTTATAATGATTATTTTTTTAAATAATTTTTAATATAAATATATCAAAACAATTGAAAAATACTAAAATTAATTAATTAAAAAAATAAAAAATATTAAAAAAACACTTGCCCGCATCCCACCCATTACAAAAAGAAGGGATCAGAGCCATATGAAACCGCAATAAAATAATAACATTGCATCTTAACATCTTTAAGGTGTTGTTTTGGTGAAAAATTGATAGCAGACTCGAACGAGCTATGGCAAAGATAACAATTGACCACGGATACATTTTTCAAGCGAGCCCTACAGGAACTCTCTTTAGAAAGAAAGAATTCGAGGGCGAGAAAGCCAAATTTTCAGCGCATGACAGCACATTCAAATCCCTGATAAACCATGTTCAGGTCCAACTGCCTCTACCACAACACCACCCAAGGTTAGCCAATCTTTCATCTCATTAAACGGGAGAATGGGTCTGGGGATGCATATAGATCAGAAAGTGAGTTTCTGTCGGAAAGAATACTAATAACGCTAGCATTGCAGAGACATTGGACCAAGTTAACATTCAAAAAGAAAAAAAAAACAGATTCCCAACTGTTTGTTGATATAAAAAATATGAAAAATATTTGGCGGTTATAACAGATCTGCAAAAGAATTTCATAGATATATGATGACAAGCTAATTAAATTGATTATGGTGAAGTTACATGCGTGCTGATTTCATCCACTTCAGGCCTGCAAATGGAGGAAGAAACAAATCATGCACCGCAGAAGGTTGATAATTAATAAATATAACAGCAAATAGAAGCATGTTACACAAATTGACTTGCACACCTAACAAACTCCAACTCATGAAATTATTTTTAAGATAATGAATACAGCAGTCTAGGATGGTTGAAATAAATGAAGAGATAGAATGCAAGATGGACATAATAACAGCCTAGAGTAACATACCTGTTGCTTTTTCTTCTTTGGCCTCCTCTTCCTCCGGGGTTTATGAGCATCGGAATTTGAACTTAGATTACTGCTGTGGCCTGTCCTTGTACTTGAAGAACCCCCTGCCCTAAAGGAAGATCCACTTATGCTACTTGATGTATTACTAGATGTAGAAATTCCAGCCCTCTGTTTCCATGAATCTTTGCTTGATGAAGCTCCAAACCTTGATTGAGCATGCACTGGATTTGCATGCAAATTATTTGAAGGCCGAGGAGGAGGCATTAGAGCTCTGCCAGCTGTCTGTCTCCATGGAAAAAACTGATGTCAGAAAAAATGTTCATTTTCTTTTTTATAACAAAAAAAATAAAAATAAAAAATAGCTGATATATAATTTCATTAAAACAGTGCAATATTCGGGTTTAAAAAGTGACCTGATTCCTTTCATCGCTTGACATTCCAGATGCTGCTTTGCCAGAAGCACTAGAAGCTGGTTCCCTGAAAACAAATTATAATATGCACCTTTTAAGGTATAAACCAGTTGACAACATATGCAAAACTATATTATGACAATCTAAATATAGGACCAAATGGGTGCGCAGTGCTTCCAGTCTAATGTGACAGCATAAAGCTTGCAGAATAAACCAGTGTACATGCATATTTATATTTTCATTGCTATCTTGATTCAGTAGTAAATGTGACTGATAAAAACATGAAAGAAATACAAATCAAGCTGCTGATAAGATAAAATAACTTGCCCAACTGCAAATGTAGATCTTGAAACTAGAATCTTCCCTCACAGTTATGGTATATACCTTGTACTTTTATCTGTCCATTCATCATCTGCATCAGCTTCATCACTCGAGGTTCCAGTTAAAAAGAAATCATCTTCACTCAGATCCAAAAGACCATCATCCTCACTCCCTGTCTCTGTTAAGGTAAGTAAAAAAAAAACATTCATCACAATAATAAGAAGATATCACAAGAAAACCACTATAATGAGATGGTATTAGCAGGTAAATAGCATTAACAGGTGTATAATCCACAAAGCCTTTTGTAATGTGGAAAGCATTACTGGTGGGTGCTTGCTCGTTCAGCTTATGACCTGTATCATTTATCTTAAATCAAAGTTGTCACTCTAGTGATCTGCCCACAACCCAATAAATGGGAAAACATTTAAAGCTAAGTAATATCTACCAGGCATAGAGGCTGGGTTCCCACTATTGGCAAGGGCACAAACAAAAACCTCATTTCTTCATTCTGGCTATGTACAAATTTGCAAAGTATTGTGGTGCACAGAATGGTAAGATAGGGAAAAACAGTCTTCCTATGACAACCGACAGTGTATTCTTTATTAATACAGATACACATAATTGTATATTTTAGTTTCATTTCTTGAGGAAAATGATTTATCTAAACACAAATGCCTGCAAAAAAGCTTAATCCATGGAGCAGATCCACAAGCATCAAACGGTGATGTTTCTACATCAAGATTTCAATAACAAACCATATCAACCACTCACCGCTATATCCTATACAAGGGTCATTCTTTGGGTCCAGTAGCCAAGCAAGAAAGTTCATATCATTTTATTTAGAAAGTTGCAGAGGTAAGCAAAACAAAGAAGATACCTTCCAAATCCTTGCCGCTGGCTGCAGCAGCAATTAAGTTGGCTTTAATCTGCTTGCGCAATCTATTTCTCCTATCAACTTTGTCTGAATCATCACCTCCAGTAAATAAAGATACATATTTCTCGGTCTTGGGGAAAAACTGCAATTCCAAGAGAAAATAGCAATGTAAAATAGAAGGAAAAAAAAAAAACCTTCAGCTTAGAAAGATTTCTTTTTTAAAAGGGGAAAAAAAACAAGAAGCAGGACAAGCGGAGCTCATGTATTTATTTAAAATACTTCTCCAAGAAGACTCAAGTGTAAACTAAATGCAATACAGTCAACATTTCATCTCACACTGTATGGTAGACTGTATCTTTAGTTTCAATCAGGTTAGTACAGAACAACAGTAAATGTCCATTACATTTTTACTCAACTGAAGGGCAAAATATAGCGTTGCAAAGATACATTTAGAGCAGCAGCAGCTTACCCTAACATATTCAAGATCTTCTTTCAATTTAGAAAGCTGATCAGCAACATCAGCATCTTGGGGTAGCTGACCAGATGAAGCGCGCTGCAGTTTCTCAAGACGCCGTATTCTTCTTTCTATCTTTCTTCTCTCTAAACAAAACAAAGGACATGACTTTGAGGATTCAGCTTGAGACTAAATAATGAAAAATATATATATTTCACATTAAGTTGTTACCAAAAAACTTAATCTTCCGATCACGCAAGAAAATCTTGCGTTCAAGAGCCAAACGAGTATGAATTTCTTGTTGCTTCTTCAATTCCTCTAACCTCTTTTCTTGAGCTTCTCTTACTTGAGGTGGAAGTTCCTTGTATTAAAAAGAGAACTAATTAATGGTGAAAAAAACCCTAGTTGAAAGTGAAAAAAGGAAGTAAGAAAGTAGTACCTTGCGGAGCATGCGATCTACAGAGCGGATTTGGTTCTTGATAGAAACGGATTTGGGCTTTTGTTTAGGCTTCTTGTCTACGCCTAATCCTTTGGAACGGCGACCTACAGGGGGTTTGCGCTCAGCCACTCTCCGTTTGCCATAGCCACCATGGGCCATGTTGCTGTTCAAAAGTTGATATGCCTCCCTTCCCCCACTCCCCTCTTCTGTTTTGTTTATTCTCGTTCACTCGCTCGACAAGATTTGGGATCCTTTCGCTATGCTATGATACGACCTTTTTCTTCTGCTTCGCTTGTTTGTTTTAAAAAAAGTGTTTGTAGTTTTTTTAAATTATTTTATTTATTTATTAATATTAAA